GAAGCACGCCAATGGGACTGGCATTAATGGCCAATCCCGTCCTCCCCGAAAACCCGGCCTCCTCTTCCTCTTCTTCCTCTGCTTCCTCAGAATTGGCCCCCCCTCTGCACCGGCCTAAACGGCCGCGAAAGTCGCGGGCCAGAGTAGGCCGGTGCAGGCCGTCGTCATGCAGGCGTATGGAGCAGAGAAGGCACGACGGTCGTCGGCTATAAAAGCCGAAGAGAGAGAGAGAGGCCCCGGTCGGCCGTTTTGAGAGACAGAGAGAGAAACAGAGAGAGAGAAGGATTGAGAGAGAAAACTGAGACAGAAAAAGAACAGACCGAGAGTATACGGCCGTGAGGAAGAGGCCAGTCATCTCGTCGACGCCGCCAGACCAGCCGGAATCCCCCCCCCCCCCCGAAGGCGTCTTCAACCGGTGAGCTCCCCGGCCGAGAAAACCTCTGTTTTCCCCCTTTTTTTTTTACGTGGCTGGGCTGCAACTCGCACTGGCCATTGCGCATGAATCCCGGCCCATACCGATGTCGATGCCGGTCCCTACTCGCTGTCGGAAGTGAGCCATGTTGTCGGAGCCGACCGAGTCGCCGGAGGAGGTCGAGATCCCTTGATTTTTGCCGCGCCCTCTACCTGCTCGATAAAATGCCCAATAGAGGCTCCTTTTGTTTGAGCTTCGGTCGGTGATGTCGAGGCTGGCCGAAGGCTGAGTGACCCTGGGGAAGCTTTGGGCTGACCACTGGAGGCCGGGTAAGTCAAATTACGACCTGGGTCCGCCGGCCAAGCTTCGACCGACGTTTGGGCTCAAACGAGCCCCGGTCGGAGCTCGGCCGGCGACCGTTCCGATCGATGCTCCGGCGACCAGGTGCTGGGTTCTCTTCAGCTTGATGCCCTGAAGAGATTGGTGTCACTGGCCGGACGAAACAGCCGTTGAATCGCCGGAATTTCGACCGGTCGGTGGCCTCTCGGCATCTGAGGCGCGAACACCGGTTGAACCGGCCGGTTCATTGGCTCAGATCGGTCAAATCCGAACCGGATCCGATTACCCGATCCGAATCAGTCGATTCGGGTCGATTTCATGGATCCGAGTCGGTCCTAACCGGATCCGATTCCGATGCCCCACCTAGATCAACCGATCCAACCCGGGTCAACGCCCCTGGTCGGATCCGTTGACCCGGGTCGGTCATAACCGACCCGGATCGGCCGATCCGACCTAGATCAACGCCCTGGGTCGGATCCGTTGACCTGGGTCGGATCCGACCGACCCTAATCCGCCGACCCAACCCGGGTTTTAATATTATATTAATTTTTTTTTAAAAAAAAAAATTTAAAAAAATTATTTTTTTCTTCTTCTGTATTTTTTTTTAAATTCAAAAAAAAATTTTAAAAAAAAGAAAAGATCCTTTTTTAAATTATGTGATATATCTAAATATTTTAATTTATTGTTGTATTACTATGCATGTTATTGTCTTGTTTAAATTAGACAAGCCTGAGGTTTCGCGGTAGTATTTTGCACGTTATTTTTATTACCGTTGTATTATTATGCATGTTTTTAATACAATTGCATGAGCTGTTGTGTTTTTTAATGTCATCTGACTTAGTTAAGGTTAGAACCTTAGGCTGCATGAATTATTGTGTTTTTGACTGCTAATCGTTTCTGATTATGCACTCGCTTGATCACCTCACATATTAGGAGAAATGTCCTAAAATCAATCTAAATTGCCTGATAAATGTTTTCATGAAATGAACAAGGTAAAAAAGGTACCGAAAGGGCGTTATTTATACAACTAGTGTAACCAAGTCCCCGAACTCAGTTAATCTATGGTTCGCAGGAATAGGGTGATTCTCCCATCACCTTATTTGAGTTTCTAATCGACCCACCGCAAATCGATTAGTGGTGACTCCTTGATATAAACCACTTAAATGTTAAATAATTAAACCCTAAGTCGCGATATGGTATGGGCTTGGGAGAGCCCGAGTTAAGTCCTGAACCTAGACTTAGCACGTACCAGGCGAAACTCCATTTTTCATATGTTCGATAAAAAGAGCGAGGAGGTCGGTCCCACAGTTACCAATTGTAGAAACTCGATATGAATCTTATGTAGATCGCATCAAGCTCGATCGTGTTTGCTTTAAATAAAATTTAGATCAGTTCGACCAAGATCAAGAAAAGCTCAATTCTGTTTTAAGAATATGCATTAGATAAGATTTAAACTACGAGCTAGAATTGAAAACATAGACCTCCGACCAAATTAGTGTGCATCTCCATTAGGAACCAAATATGCCAAGCATCAAACTTTGAGTGATGAGAATATAGCTATCAACAACGAGTTTTAGCATTTAGTCCTCACAATTCATCGCAAGCAAAGCACTCATATGGCACACCTAATCAGCCCATGAATTTTTTATTATATATCAGAAACAAAACAAACCCTTTATTGGGTTGGCCTACTCCAACAAAAATTAGGAAAGTTGATATCCTTGTTTTGTTCGGATGTACTTTTTGCTACATTTTCTATTAGTTTTTGTTATTTTTTCTATTTTTAATAACAGAGGATAAGATCCAAGGAAAAGACAAAAGAAGTTGATGCAAAAGGAGGCTATCTCACATGCAAGACGAGTCTTTGTTTATTCTACTTCTCCCCAAATGACGTATGCTTTCCGACCTTCGAGAGCATATGAACTGGTCATGGCCCAACTTGATGATATCGTTGGAACTTGAATTAAGTAAAAGTTGATCAATTAGGAGGGTTTTGCACGTGCAAGATGAGACGAGTCTTTGTATATTCTACTTCTTTCCAAATTTTATATGCTTCATTTCCGACTGACGACAACGTATAAACAGGTCACGCGATGACTCAACTTGATGATCATTAAGAAATTAAACTTATGTACGCACCTCCCATTTCTAATTCTTCAAATTCTGGTCATAGCAACATTTTTATAATCTTGATGTAAAAAACATTTGTGCATGTGTCCTAATTGTGCCACTTGATCATTTAAGGCTATTAATATAAGAGCCAACTTGTAAACAAGCATCTCTTTGTTGAAATGCGATAGACCATTGACTTTCCTTGGGCAACTTGTAAATATAAAGACTTAGACAAAATATTAGTTGATGAGCAAGCTCAGTTGTCTTGATGCAATGCATTGGGAAGAGTCAGCCAAAAGCCTTTGTTTACATTGTAAAAGAATCTAAGGAAACCTAGTATGTGAGGCAAGAGTGGATAGACAAATTCATTTGTTAGGAAGGACATTTACATTATATTGGTTCTCAATACCAACGTTGACATAGACTTTTGGGACTGCTGCTGGTGCCAGATCTAGCCCGCTGGCGGTCGCCCGACCTCGGTCGACTGCCGCCGGCACCAGATTTGGCTCGCCGGCTCCGGCGAAGGGTAAGTTAGGTTTTTTTTATTCCCAAAGCCCTTTTGCAAAAAAAATTTACCAAACACTATTTGGCCAAAAATAGCTTTATAAAGAATTTTTTATCAAACGCCATTTACATTTCCCCAAGGGGCTTTAGCCTAAAGGTATTTGCATTCCCCTAAGTAGCATTTTCAAAGTTGAACCAAACGCACCCTAAAAAAACCACTTTCCAGCGATGTTGTCATACCCAACAGCAAAGCATATAATATCTTTAACAAGCAATCTGACTTAACCATCTTACATCTATATCTTCATTACTATTTCCTGTTATAAAAGGGTATTAAAGTTACGGTCAACCAAACATATAGGAAGTTGTATTAAAGGGTTACTAATCGTAGAAACACGATATGGATCATACATAGATTTTATCAAGCTCGATCGTGTTTGCTTTAAATCAATCTGAATCGATTAGAGCAAAATCAAGAAAAGTTCGATTTTGTGGTAATTTTTATAAGAATATTCATTTGTCTAGATAAGATTTGAAGCACAAGTTGGAACTGAAAGTAGAGGCATTGAACCAAAGTCGTGCGCATCTACATTGTAAACCAAATATGCTAAGTATCAAACTTTGAGTGATGAAAATATAGCCTTCAATCACGTAAGGCATGACACGAATTTCAGAGACGTTTCTATTCCGCCACAGCCACTTGCTGTGGCTCAGTCTAATTAAGGGAAAGAGGGAAAGTGGGAAACTTTTATGTCTTGAGTATTTTGGGAGATAACCTATGCTCTTTAGAAGCTACATTATGAGGGAAAAAAGTGATAAATGTGACCATATAAAGATACTAATTTGGAGAATCAAGTTTATTGTAATTAATTATATGATTTTGAATCTGCTATGTGTACTTGAATTGAAAATATGGCATTTCTCCAGGGCCAATATAGTAAAATTGTGTGAAGAGTTTGAATCCGTGGAAGAAACCCGATCCAAGTAGAAATTCCAAATCCGAATAACTCTCGCGCGCTGCGTCGGCTTTCATCTAGTCAATATAAAAGGTAATAGTTTCTAAATAATAAGAAGGGGAACTATACGAAGCTTTGTGATGACGTGACTCGATTACAGAACTCCGCATGTGACTTTATGAATAGATTATGACGTGGAGTTGCTTCGTCAAGATTAATGGTTGCTCCTATTTTTATTTTTTTTTGGTCATGAATGGTTGCTCCTATTTACCCGGTAGTTATCTAGGGAATAATATTGCCCAAGAACGTGGTATCTGCAATGCTGATGACCCACGATTCCATCAAAGGAAAAGACAAATAAAGTTGATCGATGGCTCAACTTGACACGATTGTTGGAGCTTGAATTACGTAATCAAGCTTACGTGCGCACCTCCCACGTCTGAAGCTTCAAATTCTGGTCATCCGAACATTTTATAATCTTGATACTGTAATTTCAAGACATTTGCGCATCTGTCCTAACCTTAGTCTAAATTTTAAACAATACTGGGGGGCCTGAATATATAAATGAGGTTGCATATGCGGTTTTAAGTATTGAGTAGGATGTACTTGTTTAAAAATATCACGGCAGAATTACTGGATCTGCTTATAAATAAGAACTGAGCTTCCTTCCTTGGCCTTGCGCAGCACAAATAGGAGGAGAGATCAGAGAAATAGAGAGAGAGAGAGAGAGAGTGAAGGATGCAGGCTCTGAGCTCTACCGAGTTGTTCCGCAGAAACTTGACCGAGCAGCCGGTGCGTCGTCTCTGACTCATTGATCTACAACCATTTAAATAGAGGGCATCCCGAGTGACATGATACACGATGGTTTCATTTGCCTTTGTGCAGGTGCTGTTTGAAGAGCATTCAGGAGTGAGAAAGGTGATCTTGAACCGGCCTTCCAAGTTAAACTCCCTCACTTTCGAAATGGTGCGTCCCTATCTTCTTTCTTTACTTGTCTATGCGTCTTCATTAATCAAGCTTGTGGTCCTCTCGTCTGAGTACGCAGGTTTCTCAGATGTTTAGCAAGCTGAAAATCTACGAGGACGATCGTACCGTCAACTTTGTCATATTGAAGGTAATTAGAGGTTGTATTCATGTCTATCCTCTCTTCCTACTGAGTTGCCAGGGCATACTTAATTAAAGTGAAAAATTCCAAATAAGGACTTTAAGTGTCATCATTTTCTCAAATAAGAGCCTAAAGTAGACCTTATATCAAATAAGGGCCTGAAGTGCCCTCATATTATCTAATAAGGGCCTGAAGTGAATCTTGTTTTACATAAGGGTCTAAAGTGGCCCTGACAGTCTCAAAGAAGGGCTTAACCTTACTGATTGGTCAAAGGCATTTTTGTCCTTTACCTTTTTTTTTTCCTTTTTCTATTTTTTTCTTTCCTTTTCGTCGATGGTCAATCTTAGGCAATGGTTGGCAATACCTAGAGAGGGCTTGGGCAAGGCCACCCTCGAAAGCCACAGGTAAGGGCCAGCCTCGCCTAGGCGACCCTTGATGGCCACAGGCAAGGTTAGCCCTCACTAGATTTGGGCGAAGGTCGCCTCGCCCGCAGCCAGCGAGGACTTGAGGCGAGGTCGACTCACCCGAGACTCAATTTTGTATAAAAATCAAGTGTTTTCGCTAACTCCGTCCAATTTGACAAACAAGAAATGTTGACGTTGTTTTTTTAAATATTATATCTCTCCCACATGGCGTCCTACATGGCATTAAGGTTAACTAAAACACTAAAGCGACGTCGTTTTGATCCGAATCCTAATTTTTACACAAAAATCTTAATTAAATTAGGTTAAACAATCCATGAAAAAGACATACTCAAAAAAGAAAAAAAAGCTAAAAATTTAAAAAAAAAACACGCATACACACAAAAAAAAAAAAACCAAGCAAGAGGGCTGGGGCTGCTGCCCCATCACTGGTGAGGCATCAATCATGGCCAACGGGGTTGCCGACGCCTTGGCAAGTGTTGCCAGCCCTTGCCCAAGTTTGGGTGAGGGGCTAGCCCTCCCACCTAGGTATTTTTGTGTTATCTTTTTTTTTCTTTTCAAATATAGATTTCTTAATTTTTAATCTAATTTAACTAAATATTATGTTAAAATTGTCTTTGGACAAAAATGCTCTTCGCCGGCCGGAAATTTAGCCGGTTGACTAGGTTAGGCCCTTATTTGAAATTGTCAGGTCACTTCATGCTCTTTTTTGAATAAGATCTACTTCAGACCTTTATTTGAAAAAATGAAGATACTTCATGCCTTTTTTTTGGAATTTTCCCATAAGTAAATAATAGTAGTTGAGTTTTACGGATTTATATAGTGTTAGATTTAGATTTAAATTAGATTAGATTAGATTAATTGAGTACATTAGTGTTCATTGTACACCCACATAAATATATCATGCTCCATCTGATCGATAATATAATCTCTTCAATATGCATTGGCCGATTGTTATCATTTATGTTATTCTTCTCCTCTTGCTCAAATATTCAATAGGGAAACGGGAAAGCATTTTGTGCGGGTGGTGATGTTGTGGGAAATATGTGCTACATGTTGACAGGTGATCAAATCCGGATCTGCTCTCTTTTAATTGCGTTATTTATAACTGTTACCCGTGAAAAATGCAAGACAAATAAGACTACCCTACTTAATGGGATATGGTAGTCTTTTCCGAAAATTTAAGTTATTAGGTGGAGAATTATATATAATATATATGTAGAATTCTAATGTTTCGTGTTAAAAAATAGGGAAGTGTATTTTTGGAAATTACCAAAAAATTCTATTACATTTCTTTCAATTCAGTCATCAACTTTTCAATTGTGTAAATAAAGTCCTAAACCATTTCACATTTTGCCAATTGAGTTCATCTCGCCAATTTTGGCGGCCAATGTTCGTCCTACATGGCACGACGGGCGCTAATATAGACATTTTAATAATGTTTTGAATTTTTTTTATATTTTTTTGTTTTTATCTTTCTTTTCTTGATGTTTTTGGGACTGAGGGACAACGAAGGTTGCCAGCCAACCCTCGCAGGCTATGGGCGAGGGCTGCCACGCCCTCATGCAATTTGGGCGTCATGGCCCTTGCCGAGTCTAGGCGAGCGCCGCGATACCCAAATCGGGCCAGCGAGGGCATCGGGCAAGTGTCGGCCGGCGACTCTGCCAGCCCTCAACCAAAAAAAAAGTAAAGAAAAAAGAAAAAACAAAGAAAGATTATTAAAAAATGCCCACGTTAGCGCCGTTTGTGCCATGTTGGACACATCATCTACGACAACAATTTCTAGCCAAAATTAGCTGAATAGACCCAATTGGCAAAATGTGAAAAGGTTTAGGACTCAATTGGACAATGAAAAAGTTTAGGACTGAATTGGCACAAGTGTAATAGGTTTATAATGTTATTTGTAATTGTCCCAAACTTATTGTAACTTGATGGAAGAAAAATAGTAAAATCAAACAAATAAAGGTCGGTAAATTTATATAAGAGATGAAAAATTTAAGGTATTTCAAGAAAGATAAATAAAATTTGGTAAACAACAACAAAATTTGTTAAATTAAGAAAAAAATAAACGTTGGTAAGTAACTTAAACGAGAGTTGGTAATCCGAAATTTATTGGTAGTTCAATTGAAGGAAGTTGGTGAGTCACGTGCATAAAAATGTCAAAGTCAAAGAAATATGGTAATTTAAGACGTTGATTAGAAAGATAGATAAAGGTTGGTAAAAGATAAGAAAATATAGAAAGGTGGTAGTTTCATAAAAGTGTTTGTAAGATACCCATAAATTATCGGAGACTAAGGTGACTGAAGATTTGTTTTCACCAATAATTTTTTGACAGGTGGAAACTTTTTCAAAAACCAACTAGCACGAAAAATTCAATTATTTTTCTAACAGAACAGTATAATCATCCTATATACATACAGAGACATAAGTTCACTGTAGACATTGTTATTAATGATTTTTTTGGGGACAATTTTAACAGTCTCCACCGATCTTAATCTTTTCATCCGAGTAATTTATGGTATTGCTTGAACACTTCAGGACATTGGAGCTTCGGAGCAAGCTTCTACAAGAAACAGCTCACCTTGGATCACTTGATAGCTACCTATAAAAAGCCTTTGGTGATGTTTGGGGGGCTTTTCTTACTGTACAATACTTTCGTGGTTGATGAACTAAATCGACTGAACATTTTTCTTTCTATATGATTCGAATTGAAGGTATGCCTCATCAATGGCGTTGTAATGGGTGGTGGTGCCGGAATCTCCATGCACGGGAGCTTTAGAGTCGTGACAGAGAAGACGGTAAATAGTCCTCGTCTATTATTTTATTCGATTGGGATAACTGGACCTGATGGTGATGAATGATGATTGCAGATGAGCCGTGTTCATCATAATGTTTCTTATGAGACATCTGATAAAAGTTTTCTTGTCACTACAGAAGATGAATCTTCTAAAGAGTGCTGCAATTCTTGTTGTTGCAGGTATTTGCAATGCCTGAAGCAATACTTGGACTATTTCCGGATGTGGGTGCATCTCATTTTCTATCCAAACTTCCCGGTTACTTTGGTAATCTTTTCAACAGCTTCTTCTTTTCTTTTTTACTTTCGGTGACATGGAAAACATGTATTGTCCTTTGTTAGAAGGGATTTATAGAGGAAGACAATTACATTGTATCAATCTTTTCTTTTGTCGTCTAATGTTTGTGTCCTACTGACAAATTTTAAGTGACCGGTCGGTGTGTTTATACTATACCAAGTTTTATTTATCAGTAGTCAATATGTCCTATTTGTAGAATAGATTTTACTATCATTAAGATTTCAAGAGTAGTGTCACGTCGAGCAGGTGAATATGTCGGACTAACCGGAGCAAGAGTGGATGGAGCAACAATGGTTGCATGTGGCCTTGCTACTCATTTTGTCTTTTCAAAGGTAACTAGTTAGTATAGATTCCAAAAATTGCGCACCTTTCGTATCTAAAATTTTTAAAAGAAAATATTTGACATAGTATTTACGGGTAACCCTCTACTCTCTCAATAGGATCTTCCTCTTTTAGAGCACACTCTCTCTTCGGTGGATCCATCAAATGCAGCAGAAATTTTATACGTCATCAACAAATTTGCGCACAAATCCAATACAAAAGAGGAAGAGCTCCACAAAAGGTTACTGGTGTTCTGATTTAGCACTTCGCTCTCTTCCTGTTGCATATAATCTCTTCATCGGAGCTAGTCAAACAAATTCCAACCAGTCTTGATTGTTGTAATAGATTGAAGAGTATAAACAGATGTTTCTCAAGACAAACTGTGGAGGGCATATTACATTTTCTCGTAAGTATATTTTGGTGGGATCTTTCCTTTTTCTTTCTTTTCTTCTAGCTGCAAAACAGCGACGGTGATAGTTGCAAGACTAACACAGTTATATGGTGCAGGAAAAGGAGTTGCGGGATAACTTGGCAGAGAAATGGATCGCTGATGCAGTGAACAATATGAAGTCTGCTAGTCCGACCAGCCTTAAGGTTTTTCTGAGATCGGTAATATGCAAAACAAAACGTATAATATCAAGCTTAGCGAATTAACACTTTGAACGATAGTGAAATTCTACAAATATCTTCCACTTTTCAAAATCTATTCTTATACGATGCGCACGGATGGGATTTTTGAAAGTAGCAAGTATTCAGCAATTTGTGTTAGAATAGAATGGGAGTTATACCATCAACAAACTAACTCCTTACGTACGTACATGCATGCGTGTATATGTTTATTACAGCATCTGCAGATTACATGGTACAAATGATTGTCAATTTTTTATGTGTAACATTACGTGGGGCATGGCATATTGCATTCAACAACTTGAAGAAATTGTTGATCTTGGTGATTAGATAAGAGAAGGACGTGGTCAGACGATCGAACAATGTCTAGCTCGTGAGTACACCGTCTTTTGCAACATTGTGCGGAGGAAGATCACCAATGACTACTACGAGGTACTAATCAGGATTCGTGATAGGATATAACATAAATCAGCTCTCTGTGAAACTTCATTTACAAAGTAATGTCACAAACTCTAAATGTAAATATGTAGGACATATTCAAGTACCTAATTAGAAATTCAACCCAAAAAAAAAGAATTTAATTAGAGTTGTAATTTATCACATCACTTGACTTCCTAATAGCCGAGAAACTATTTCATGGACTATAGATCACATAGACCAATACCATATCAACAATGATTATATGAGTCTTACGAGTCTAAACGTGAGGCCCACATGATAAATAGTGGAGATGAGCATCGTCGATTTTTAAACCATACATAATTTTTTAGTGGGAGGATTCAGCAAGGGTATTTGTCATTTGTCATCTGTATTTTGCTCTTCACCAATTTGTGCAACGCAATGATGAAATCCGTTTTGGTGCAGGGTTCAAGGGCAATTTTTTTCGATAAAGACAAAAAGCCCAAGGTGCAAACATTTATGCTTTACACATCTTTTTTCCCATGTCCAAACCTTTTGATTGGTACTTGGCTAAACGAAGACGGTCCAAGTCATTAATTCCTTTTAACTAACTAATGGCAGGAGATGGATATATGTTGCAACAACAAATTATAGAGTCTCCTTTATTATCCTAATAATTAAAATCCAAGTACTTAACCTCAATGAGTTCAAGAGAGAATCATTAAAGCCTCGTAGAGATTTGAGATCCTATAATCGTCGGGGAGGTATAATGCAAGCTTGAATTGTGCTAGGTCATATGCTACAAAAACATTGTTGGCCCTTTTCCTAATAGGTTAACCTTTTGGGACAATCAGTTTATCTAACAAATTAAATAAATTAATATGCGCCGTTGAGCTTGAGCCTGATTTTTGTTTGATGAACACAGTGGGAGCCGGCGAAATTAGAATTAGTCACAACAGAGACGGTGGATATGATTTTCAAAGCATCGGAGGATGATGACGATTGGAATTGTCTACAGCTGCATGCACGGTCCTCCAACTTGCTTGACCACGCAAGATCGAAGCTCTAAACAAACTACTTGTAGTTTTTAGTTACTACAGATGCAATTGGACCGTCATCAATGTATCTATCTTTTTATGTACGAGACCTACTTATTTAAACAAACAATATGAATATGGTCCACTATTTAGTAAGTAGATTTTAGTTTTCCCAAGTCCAACATTTCTCTTTTACAAGTGCATTATTACATGCTATAAATTGCATCGTGAAATCAAAGACGCAGCAGTTCATATGCCAAGAACATATACTACACGTTCGAAACAAGCGAGTGTAGTGTTGTTGAGAGATCACGTGCATCATGTATTATTATTCACCTAGCTTCCATTGTTGAATTAATTAAAGTAAGAAAATTTTATAAAACATACAATTTTTTAGATCCTTCCATAAGTCCGACCGGTTGCCATGGACTTGTGAAAGAAATTTGTGGTCAACACGGCTGCATCATTCTCAAAAACAATTTAAAATAAGAGATAGAATGGAAAGTATTTTTTTTTCACCTTCAAGCCTGGCAAACATGTGGCAAATGCTAAGTTGCTTCATTTTTTTGCTCTCATTGTATATATACAAACTCCGAGGGGTGAGGTCACTTGAGATTCTTAGGAGTTTTCCTCACAATCAGAGATAGATATAGCTGCCAGCATGTCTTATTTGATGGCAACAATATGGTATTTAGGAGCAAACTAAGGAAACAGGAGCACTTGTCTCCCCGGCTGTGAGAAGGCATACACATCCCCTACGTTGATCCACTGTACTATGATATCCTCTTTCTCCCTGGCTATCGCGTTCTTTGAAAATGCCATAACACTGCAGTTGACAAGCATGGAGAGCTGGACATAATGGTGTACACTGCTGCAACTAAGGACCCAGCCAAAGCCAACATGTTGTACAATGGCAAGGCCAACTTGGAGAGAGCGGCTAGCGTGAAACTGACGGGTGTTTCTTAGGGACCAAGCATGTGGCTCAAACCATGATTCTTTTGCGAGGAGGAAGAATCACCAATGTCGCTAGTGTCAGCTCGAGCGTGGACAAGGTTGCATCCCATGCATACACCATCTCCAAGCACACGATCGAGGGGCTCACAAGGAATGTAGCTGCGGAGCCCGGACAACATGGGATTCGTGTGAATTGTCTGTCAGCATATTTCATTCCAACACCATTGTCAAGGGACTTCTTCAAAATCGATGGGAATGGAGGATTCCCAGTGTACTCAAACCTGGATGGGGCGGCTCTTCAAAAAGAGGATGTAGCCGAGGCTGTTTTATATCTGGGGAGCGATATGTCCAAGTACATTAATGCCCATAATCTAGCAGTGGATGGAGGCTTCACCGCCACCAATCCTGCCTTTGGCTTATTCGCTCGTGCTTAAACTTGATGCTACGATCTACGATCACCTTTTCACTCCTTTGTATAAGAGTTAATGCACAATGACTCTCCGCTCAGTAGCTGTCGATCTCAATGTCTTTTCAGGCAAATAACATTCAAAGTCGTTCTGTGGCATGTCATTTCAGCAGAGCTACACTAAATCTTGACTAACAAGGATGAACAAACACATAACAATTGAATACAGCATTCCAACATATTTTCTGTCATCTTAATGCTCCCGTCGTGCAGAAAATAATGAGTAGACATTCTTAACTGCACGATCAAAGTGCTCTCTTCAAGTCATTGGACTTTCCAAATTGAACAATACTTAATCTGCTGTATCCAAACTTAACCCTCGCATTGAAGAAGATCCACAAAACCAGCACTTTTTTCTGCTATGAATAAGAAGGAAACCTCATGCAGAGAAGAGATCATGGCAGACTCAGCTTCCTCTTTTTTGCAGTTCTTCAGGATGTCAATCAGTTCAAGAAGCCTGGAGGTTCCTAGTAGTTTCTTTCTTCATTTTGTCTTCAATGTCCTTTCATCTATCCTCTATACTTCCTCTCTGTCAGACGAAATGGTCCGCGTCCCATGTTGCCAAGGAATATTTTCAAACTTCAGGGGCACGATCTGCTGAATATATGATCTTCCTGGAAAACGTCGTTTATCTTTTGGGAGCACTCAGAGCCGAGGCAACCAAAACGCTAAGTAAAAAGGAATTCCGATATGAGAGTACTGGCTAGATGATCCCGAATTTAAAGATATTGTCAAAGGGGCTCAGAATAGTGCTCAATCGGACTTTATGAGCAAATCGAGCAAGGTTACTGGTGCATTGGCGGATTGGAGAAGGAAGAAATTCTCTAATGCTCATCATTAAATTGAGAATCTAAAGAAGAAGCTTACTGAGCTAACCAACTGTCCCGGTGGGGATGCGAACAGGAAGGAGACCCAGCAAATTAAGAGCAAATTGAAAAAGTATGGAGGCAGGACAAGATGTATTGGAGCGTGAGATCCTAGATTAGCTAGTTGAGGTGGGGCGACAGGAATACCAAGTATTTCCATGCTACTACGGTCCAATGAAGACAGTATAACATAATTTCTATGTTGAAAGTGGATGATTACTGTTGAAGCCATGACCCTACAGTGTTGAGGCTACACATTGGCAATTTTTATAAGTCTTTATATGAAGCCATGGGTCCAACGAATTTTCAGCTCGTGTTAATAGGGTGTAAATTGCAAAGGACACAAGTTTGATAGGTACATTTGGATTGTTAAGTCATGTTGTTTCGCATACATTTATTCATAGGGTGTAAATTGCGAAGGGTATATTTAGAAGAGGAAAAGTTCGGAAACACCCTCTCGAGTTTATACAGTGCTTAGATCTGGATTTAGATTAGGCTAATTGAGTACATCTGATCGATTGACATATTCCCTAGGATACGCATTAGCTTATTTTTCTCATTGATGTTAGTTTTTGCCTTTTGCTCAAATTCATTAGAGAAACGTGAAAGCATTTTGTGCTGGTGGTGATGTTGGAAACATGTGCTCCATGTTAACAGGCGATCAAATCGGGATATGCTCTGCTTTAACTGTGCTTCATATGACCATAAAGGCTTATTAGTGATTATTACTGTGATGAGTTAGTAACTCAACAAGCTGACAAAATGTCATCGAACCTATTGGTATTAAACTCTCGAAAAATTTATAAATGGACGGTATTATAAGGTAAAGGTTTGTTGATGGTATGTTTACATTGGTATCGGTAATGAAATATAATAACTAAAGACTAGATAGAATATTGGCTACTGTGTAAGCTCGAGTGTCTTGATGCAATGCATTGGGAAGAGTCAGCCAAAAGCCTTTGTTTACATCGTACAAGAATCTTAGGAACATGGTCCGTGAGGATAAGTGCTAATAGACAGATTCATTTGTCAGGAAGTGCAGTTGCATTGTATTTCAACTTTCATGTTGACATAGACTTTTGGGTCCAAAAACACCACCGTCCAGCGATAAACAACACAGCATATACCATCTTCAACAAGCAATCTGACTGAAACCATTTTACATCTATATATTACTATTTCCGGTTATAAAATGGCATCAAAGCTACAGCCATTAGTTTACCAAACATATGGGAAATTGTATGGAAGGATTACCAATCATAGAAACCCGATATGGATCCTACATAGATTGTATCAAGCTCGATCGTGCCTGCTCTAGATAAATTGAGATCAGTTCGACCAAGATCAAGAAACGCTCAATTCTATCATAATTTTTTATTAAGTACATCCATTTGTCTAGATAAGATTTAAACTACGAGCTAGAATTGAAAGCAGAGGCCCCAAACCAAAGTTGTGCACATCTACATTAGAAACCAAGTATGCCAGGCATCAAACTTTGAGTGATGAAAATATAGCTATCAATAACGAGTTATAGCATTTAGCCCTCACAATTCTCGCAAGCAAAGCACTCACATGGCACCCTTAAACAGCCCATGAAGTTTGATGTTATACCAGAAACAGAACAAACCCTTTATTGGCTTGGCCTACTCCAACTCAAATAAGGAAATTCGATATCCTTATTTTGTTCGTTAACTAAAATCCAGCTTGAACTTTCTTCTTGTTTTACTCGGAAAGTGAAAATCTTTCACCAGAAAGGCTAATTTTGGTTTTTTATGAGTTCAAAGCATTGCAAAGTAAATTTGTAGGAAAATATAGATAAATAAATTTCATTGACTAATGTCAACGAAAATGTGCGAGAGAGTTTTACAACATTCACTATGGATATCTATATCCCGCTAATTGCGATTACACACAAGTAGTTACTACTATTAACTATGGTTACCGCCAAACATCCTCCAAGATAATAGGCATGCTTTTCATATGCTAATAATTATTATTCACAAGAGGTTACAACTTCTAAGGTCATCGGAATAATCAACCGCCACTCGATATTGCAACCGTCACTCAATTATTTGAATCATCACTTGATGCCAAAAGTCGACTCTCGATGTCTAGAATCGACATATCTTATTTGTCTACGGATTCCAACACTTAGCAGAATTTGCATCACAAAAATTGCAAAAATAGTCCACGTCAAAGCCGGCCGCTGCACCACAGAGGACGGTTGATGCTAACTAGACCGCCACGTTAGTGATTTCCGGTCAAAATTTGCCGAAATGACTAAATTCGCAAATCATCAAAATGTTTAAATTATTGCCTTTTATACTAACTAGTTGAAACTTGAAAGCCATAAAAATCATCAGTTTTAGAGAGAAATGCTATACCATCTGAGGAATTGGCGATCAATATAGGAATATGCCCTAAGCACAAGATGTTACCCTAGATTTTTCTATGTTGTAAACAAAGGCTTTGGGCTGACTCTACCCAACGCATTGCATCAAGACACACGAGCTTACTCATTAACTAACATTTTTTTTTTATCTAGTTCCCAAGGAAAGTGGGGTTCTAGGTCAGTCGCATTTCAACGAATAGATACTAATTTGCAAGTTGGCTTCAATATTTATAGCCTTAAATAATCAAGTGGCGATTTTAAACCAAACCCAATTGCTTAACATTTTGATGGGTTCCCTTGATCATGGCAGACAATCTACAGTAAGTTATCATAAATAATTATCAATACCCATGTTAACATACCATCAAAATACTTCAATACTTAGGTAGATAATGTTAAGGGAAGTGGAAGGGAATGAAACTTTGCGACGATGTGGCTCAATCACAAAACTCCTTGCCCGACTCTTTAGATAGATTGTGAGATGTAGTTGCTTCGTCGAGATTAATGGTTGCTTCTATTTACCCGGTAGTTATGCGTGGAATAATATTGCCCCAGAACATGGTATCTGCAATGCTGATGATGACCCGCGATTCCATCAACGGAAAAGACAAACAAAATTGATCAATCAGGAGGCCTTTTCCCACATGCAAGACCAGATGAGTCTTTGTTTATTCTACTTGTACCCAAATAGTCTTTGTTTGTTCTACTTGTACCCAAATAATGTTTATTATTGACTTTTGACAGCATACGAACGGATTATGCAATGGCCCAACCTGATGATTATTACGTAATTAAGCTTACGTACGCGCGCATGTGTCCTAATTTAGTCTAAATTTTAAGCAATACTGGGAGGGACCCAAATAGATTAATGAGGTTGCATATGCTTATTACGTGTTGAGTAGGATGTCCTTGTTTCGATGTCACGACAGCATTACTCGATTATAGATAGGAATTGAGCTTCCTTCCTTGGCCCTGTGCAGCCCAGATAGGAGGAGAGAACAGAGAGAGTGTGTGTGAAGGATGCAGGCTCTGAGCTCTATCGAGTTGTTCCGCAGAGACTTGGCCGAGCAGCCGGTGCGTCATCTCTACTCATTGATCTCCCACCATTTACATAGAGGCCATGCTTGGCGCCCTGATGGACGATGGTTTCATTTGCCTTTTCGCAGGTACTGTTCGAAGAGCATTCAGGAGTGAGGAAGGTGATCTTGAACCGGCCTTCCAAGTTGAACTCCCTCACCCTCGAAATGGTGCGTCCCTCTCTTCTTTCTTGTACTTGTTTATGTACGTCCATTGCTCATGCCCGTCTCGTCCGAGCAAACAGATTTCTCAGATGTTTAGCAAGTTGAAGGTCTACGAGGACGATCCGACCGTCAACGTTGTTATCTTGAAGGTAATCGCAGGTTGTGTTGGTGTCTGTACTTTCTTCCTACTGAGTTGCTTGCACGTATTTAAGCAGATAACAGTAGTTGGGTTTCGCGATTTCGTATAGTGTATAGATTTAGATTTAGATTCCATTGATCATGCACTAGCTGATTCATGTTTATGTTAATCTTCGCCTCTTGATCAAATATTCATCAGGCAAACGGGAAAGCATTTTGTGCGGGTGGTGATGTTTTCCAAAATATCTGCTCCATGTTAACAGGTGAGCAGATCCGGATCTGCTCTCTTTTGATTGTGTTTATTATAACTATAACCCTTGAAAAATGCAAGACTACCCTAATTAACGGGAAATGGTAATCGTCTCCCAAAACTTACAATATTAGGTGAACAGTCATATATACATGTATAATGTTTCGTGTAACCGTGTTGTTAAATTTCGATAAGTTTTCCTACCAAAAAAAAATTCGATAAGTTTTAGTGAGTGTTAAAAGAACTATTGGTAAAAATAAGTAAATGGCGACATTTTTTTCTAGTTTACTTAGTGAGCCTACCAACACTAGTTAATTTTACATAATAGTTGGTAAAGTGAAGGCTTTGTTAGAAAATGTAAACAAAAGTTGGGAAAATATTTTGTTAAAAATTGTCAAGGATACGAAAAAATAATCAAATAAATGTTCGTAACTAACTCAAATAAGAGTTGATAACTTAATTGTAGAAAAATTGGTAATCACTTCCATTAGGGTTAATACCACGAAAAACAACAAACCGATACACCTGTAGCAAATTTACCCCAAACTAATTTTTGACTGCCAAAAACCCCAATCTGGTACACTTATGACAAATTTACCCCAAAAACCCTAAATTGGTATATTTATGACAAATTTACCCTCTGTTAAATTGAATTGATATGACGAAAAATCACGAATTAGTACACCTGTGACTAAAACTTGAAACCAGTATACCCGTCAACGGCCACGTGTCATCCAACTCAGTAATTTGACCATAAAATTTAACGAAAATTAACAAAGGATAAATTTATCATAGGTGTACCCGTTTGGATTTTTTGGTGGTCATAAAATTAGTTTAGGGTAAATTTATCACGGGTGTACTAATTTGGAGTTTTTCGTTGTATTAACCCCTTTAATTAAAGTTGGTAATTTCTAAAAAAGTTTGTAAGCTTAAAAACTTGATGGGCAATTAGCATGATAAATAAAAATTGAGAAACGATAAGAAAAGTTGGTAAATTCAAAAGAAACTAAATAAACATTGTTGAGTTTTCAAAATAAGAGTTGGTTACCTAACCTTAGTTGGTAACTTAATTAGATGGGTAAATTCATGGAGGGTTGGTAAATTTAAGGGCTGGCACGAAAGATAAATAAAAGTTGGTAAAAGACAACAAAACAAAGTTGACAATTTTTTAACTTCAACAAAGATATTAATTTAATAAAAGAATTGGTAAGTTACCAATAAATTATCGAAAAATCAGGTGATCAATGATTTATTTTTGCCAACAGATTTTGTATACTTAGCAACTTCTTCAAAAATCAACCAACACAAAAAAAATCATTTTTTAACGCAACAGTAGAATCGTCTTATATACATGCATATATATATAAGTTCAGGTAGACATTGCAATTAATAATTATTTTGGCATTATTTTGAGAGTTTCCACCTATTTTATAAGTTTAGAAATTCCTTCCGCAAGCGAAGAAAACTTATTAATATTTACCTTTTATCTAATAATCCAAGGAAATCCTGGTATTACTAAAATCCTTCAGGACACTGGAGCTTCGGAGCAAGCTTTTACAAGAAACAACTCACCTTGGATCACCTGATAGCCACCTATACAAAGCCTTTGGTGAGATTTGGGGGCTTTTCTTCTTATACCGTACTTCCATGGCTGATGAACCAAACGATAAGTATCTGTAGTCAAGTTATAGCGATACCTTCTAAATCAACTTGAACATTTTTTTCTTTTCGTATGAGTGGTATTGAAGGTATGCCTCATCAACGGAGTTGTAATGGGCGGTGGTGCTGGACTCTCCATGCACGCGAGATTTCGAGTCGTGACAGAGAAGACGGTAAATAGTCCTCTATAATTTCGTTCGATTCGGATAACCGGACTCAATGGTGATGTATGATGATTGCAGATGAGCTTTATTCATCATAATGTGTCTTCTGAGACATCTGATAAAAGTTTTCTTGTCACTACAGAAGATGAATCTTTCTGAAGAGTGTTTCGATTCCTGATGTTGCAGGTATTTGCAATGCCTGAAGCAGTACTCGGAATCTTTCCGGATGTGGGTGCATCTCATTTCCTATCCAAGCTTCCCGGTTACTTTGGTAATTCTGAACTGCTTTTTCTTCTCTTTGTTTACTTCAGATGAACCCATAATACACATATTGACCATTGTAGGTATGGAATTAAAGATGAAGAGAATTACATTGTATCGATCTTTTCATTTGTGGTCTTGTATATGTGTCTTATCGACAAATTTTAATTGACTAGTTAGTGTGTGTATTGCACCGAGCTTTTTAATTGTCAAAAATTGAATTTATCTAAAATCTAGATTAGATTTTCCTATCATTTGGATTTTACAAGTGGTGTTACATTGAGCAGGTGAATATCTAGGATTAACCGGAGCACGGGTCGATGGAGAAACAATGCTTGCATGTGGCCTCGCAACTCATTTTGTCTTTTCAAAGGTAACTAGTTGTTTGCAATTTTGAAACTTGCGCACCTTTCCATTGAATAGTTAAAAGGAAAAAAGGTGGCACATTAGATGTATTTAATTATTGATACCATTTTAGTTTTTCTTTTATATATATACGGGTAATCCTTTATTTTCTCGATAGGATCTTCCTCTTTTAGAACACGCTTTCTCTTCGGTGGATTCATCAAATGCATTAGAAATTTCATCGGTCATCAACAAGTATGCGCACAAATCCGATACGAAAGAGGAAGATCTTCACAAAAGGTTACTGATATTCTATTCTAGCACTTCACTCTCTTCCTGTCGAATGGAATCTCTTCATCAACAAGTCTTCATTGTTGGAATAGATTGAAGAGCATAAACAGATGTTTCTCAAGACAAACTGTGGAGGGCATATTACGTTCTCTCGTAAGCATACGTTGGTGTGATTTTTCTCTCTTTCTTCTTTTCTAGTTGCGCAGCTGAGATAGTTGTACGGTGCAGGAGAAAGAGTTGCTAGATAACTTGGCAGAGAATTGGATCATCGAGGCAGTGAACAGTATGAAGTCTGCTAGTCCGACCAGCCTAAAGATTTCTCTGAGATCGGTAATATGCAAAACAAAACGTATACTATCAAGCTTAGGGGTAATTTATACAGATTAACGCTTTTGAATGATAGTGAAATTCGACAAACGTCTTCCACTTTTCAAAATCTACTCTCTTAGGGTGTGCGCAGATGGGAATTTGAAAGTAGAAAGTATTCAGCAATTTGTGTTAGAGTAGAATGGGAGTTATCCAGTCATAAACTAACTCATTGCGTCCGTACATGCATGTATGTTTATGCTTATTCCAGCAGTTGCAGAGTACATGGTACACATGATTGTCAATTATTTATGTCTAACATTACGAGGAGCACGGCGTATTGCATTCAACAACTAAAAAGAACTTGTCGAATCTTGATGATTAGATAAGAGAAGGACGTGGTCAGACGATTGAACAATGTCTAGCTCGGGACTACACCGTCTATTGCAACGTCGTGCGAAGGAAGATCACCAATGACTACTATGAGGTACGAACCATGAGCAGTGATAGGATGCGACAAACTCTAAACAGATATTTAAATATGTAGGACATATTCAAGTACTCAATGAGAGCTTTTGTTTGTCACGTCACTTTTATAAGCAACTTCCTAATAGCCGAGAAGTTATTTCATGGACCACAAACCATATAAATCAATACCATCTCAATCATTGATTATATGGATCCGACTGTAAAGCCTATATGATCAATCGTACGGATGAACATGATCTAACTATCTATAAACTATACGATATTTCTGTAACTAGAGTATCCGCCGAGAGTGTCCGTCGTTTGTCATATGTATCGCTCTCTTCTTCAATTTGTGTAATGCATTGGTGAATACGTTTTGGTGCAGGGTTCAAGGGCAATTTTTTTCGATAAAGACAAAAGGCCCAAGGTACAAATATTTACACCGTTACCCTACTATTTGACTTGTCGAGTTGGATCTTGAAACTTTGTTTAGTAAGAGCAACAATACATCAGTTTATTTGACATTTGATATGGTGATGACATTGTGTTTTAGACATCTTCTTTTTACGTCCAAACCTTTTGATTGGTACTTGGCTTTGTCTGTCATTTGTTGTACATTGGCTAAACGAAGACGGTCCAAATCATTACTTTCTCTTAACTGATAAATGGGAGGAGAAGGACACATGTTACAACAACACATTATAGAGTCTCTTGTATATTATCCTAATAATAAAAATCCAAGTACTAAACTTCAGTGAGTTCAAGAGACTCGCAGAGATTTGAGATCCTATAATCGTCCGTAAGGTAATAAGGTATGATGTAAGCTAGAATTGTATTAAGTCATGCGCTATAATACGTTGTTCCATAATATACCAACAACTTAACCTTTTAGGACAAACAGTTTATCTCACAATTTGGATGAATTGATACATGACGCTGAGCATGAGCCTGACTTTAGTTTGATGAACACAGTGGGAGCCGCCAAAGTTAGAGTTAGTCGGAGCAGAGATGGTGGATATGCTATTCAAAGCATTGGAGGATGATGACGATTGGAATTGTCTACAGCTCCCTGCACGGTCCTCCGACATGCTTGACCACACGAGATCGAAGCTCTGAATGAACCTATTTGTGACACAACTCACACATATTGCAATACAGCAAACTGGAAACTGTGACATCAGTAACCACGTAAACACAACTCAGATATATTGGCCTGCATTTGTAATGTGACAGTCTTATTTGTCAAAATCACACGAGACAACTCAAGCTTTCCTGATTAACTTCCTGTCTAAATCTTAGCTTTTGATGAATACTTTCGCCTGTGGGAATCACATTGCCCTCTAAATTACAAGCAACGAAGAGGAATAATTGCTGTCGATGCATCTAAAGATAGAACAGCGCAGTATCTATGTCGAATTTCGACTGCACACGCACCCATCAATGCCAGCTTCAAGGCAGAGCCAGGACACTCCTAAAGTTTTCTGGAGATGAAAATCTAGTAATACCAACAGTAGCAGAGAAAAAGAGAAATCGACAGCAGAAGAAAAAGATTACCTTATTTGTTTCTATTATAAAATGGGAGCTTGTACAGTTCCGCAAAACCGAAACCCCAAACTCGATTGTACAAATAAATAAGGAATATGCTAGATCATTCCATTTTGAAACAAGCTCGCATTCTCGGCCTGAAAGCAGCACAGCAATTGTCAGTGACTCAAGAAAAGTCTCTGCTCAAGCAAATTAGATCCTCGAACAATGTCACAATTATTACCATTGCACCCACAAATACGCCTTCAAATAGACAAACATCAAGAATCCAAGTTTAGCTTCAGGTTGTCGTCTTTGCGGCCAATACACGCAACTGAGCATTATTTGGCAGACATAGGAAAGTGCAGGTATTGCTCTACAAAATAAGAAAGTACTGCTCCACCAATGCTTTCAAATCAGAGTATCTTATCTTAATTTCTCCGGAGAAACTCAAAAGTTAATACACTCTTGCAGTTTTTTTCTAACCTCAAAAAGGAACTACACTTATTGTCCAATCTTCTTCTCCAAAATCACCCTCAGCATAAGATTGTGGAAAACTAAGCACAAACCAATGCCAGGCAGAGGTGGGAGGACTACCGCAAAACAGCAAAGCTTAGACCTCAAAAGTTTGAACTTGGATCCAATTTGAAGACGATAAAGCAGCAACATCCTGAGATGGCTTTGGCAATGCAGGTTTTTCCTTAAAAACTTTACTTTTATCCGCATTCTCGAACAATTGCTTCCGGAGGACACCATGCAAACGCCCAAAGAGTTGCTTCTTCAGGGATTCAAATGCCAAATCCAACCTCTCCAGCTGCTCCATCGCATTCACATTATACATGAATAACCCATAGTAGAGGTCAAAGCTATCACCAGCCGTATTCTCCACCAAATTTAACAAAGTCTCGTACCCTTTTGTATTAATTGGGCTGGACTCCAAGCCCAGTTTCTCCAGTGTCCTCCCCATTGTGTGCGTGATAAACTGTGACCCAGCTGCATGCCAATCATGTTCAGCACAACTCATCTCCACCATTAGACACCCTTCCTGTGCAAATATGTCCAAAAACTGGTCACATCGTGCTTGTCTTAACTCATCACTTCCAACCCTAACTTTATCATAAACAAAGGAAAGACCATTCCATCCATTCTTGCCGCTCTCGGGTCCGAACATTGGGTGTGTGCAAAGAACATCAAAATCTAATGGCAAGTTCTGGAGAAACAAAACCCTCGGAAATTCCTTCACCGAAAGTACATCGACGAACAAGGTACTCCTTTTCAATCTTTGGAGAGGCAATGACTTAAGGACGCTCTCTGTAGACAAAATCGAGCTGCAAAGAAGGATCACGTCGGGATGCTCTTCACAAAGATCATCCACATTAGAAAAGAAAGAAACCCCCAACCTTTGAGCAGCCTCAGAGTAATCTGATCGAGAATAAGCTATAACTGTGTGACCTTGGCGGACCATGGTCTTCCCTAGAAACTGGCCAAATTTTCCAAACCCAACAATGGCAATCTTGAGGGGCGACCTATCTTGAGAACTGCTGGAGCTAGGCACTGGATAGCCGATTGTCGAAGCAACATCTTGGAATCTAACGGTTTAGAGAAAAATTATGAATGAGATTCTACATCAAATGAATTTTCTAAAAGAGGTAGAAAGATGTTACAAATCTTTCAGCAAACACAAGAAACAAACACATTTTCCTTACATTAGTATATCTCATTGTTCCACAGAAAATACAATGAAAATGGGAACATTAATCGCAACTGACTATCAGTTTTGAGGTATATTAAATCATTAAACCCTAACACTAGACTTCATTCTCACTGCCACAACTTAAAAAAAGGGAATAGCATAATACCTAAAAAAACTTCGTGCTAGTAGCATTTCTACTGCTCTCTTGAAAAGCAGCGAATATACAGTCAAATGATCAAGGACAAGCGATATAACTGAATAAGAAAAGTTCCCACAACCAAAACAAAGAAACCATTTATTAGCAAAATCATACCCCATTGATTTTGAAGTACCCGCACCATGTTTAATATTCATCAGCACCCCGTAATTCTCCAGCGAAACGGGCACTGTCTCGGCACTTTCAAACAACTGCTTCCTCACCACATCATGTAACCTTCCAAACAGCTGCTTCTTCAATGCCTCGAAAGCCAAATCCAACCTCTCCAACATCTCCAACGAATTTTTATTATACATGAACAAACCATAGTACAAATCGAAGCTGTCCCCTGCAGTATTTTCCACCAGAGCTAGCAACTTCTCGTACCCCTTCGTGTTAATCGGCGTCGATTCCAATTCCAACTTCCCCAGAACCCTCCCGACCGTGTGCGTGATGAACTGCGATTCGGCAGCACATCTATCGTGCTCGGCGCAGGTCATCTCCACCATATTACACCCCTCCCTCGCGAAGATATCTAGAAATTTCTCGGCCCTCGAAATCCTCAATTCCTCATCGCCAATCCTAACCTTCTCATACACAAAATTAAGCCCACTCCATCCATTCTTCGCACTCTCAGGTCCAAACATCGGATGCGTACAAATTATATCAAAATCACAAGGCAAAAGCTGAACTAGCAAGGTTTTCGCAAACTCTTTTACCGACAAGACGTCGACGACCAGCGTGTTCCGCTTCAATCTCTGCAAAGGCAGCGACTTTACGACTCTTTCCGTCGAAATGATCGAAGTGCAGAACAAGATGACTTCCGGGTGCTCCTCACACAGGTCGTCCGGGTCGCGGAAGAACGTGACCCCGAGCCTGCGAGCGGCGTCGGAGTGGTCGGATCGCGAGTGGGCGAGGACGGTGTGGCCCTGGCGCGCGAGGGTCTTGGCCAGGAACTGGCCGAAGTTGCCGAAGCCGACGACGGCGATCTTGAGCTTCCCGTGCGATTCGAAGCGGGCGGAGAGCTTGGACTCGTAGTCGTACAGCTGGGCGGCGTCCACGGACTGGATGCGGAGATGGCAATGGCGGCGGCGGCGGCGGCGGCGGGGGGAGAGGGGTTGAGGGGATTTCAGGCTGGAGGGGAGAGACTGGGACCCGGGGTGAGGAGAGAGTGTGCGGCGGAGTTGAGAGAGGGACGGCGGCGGCGGCGGCGGCGGCGGACATCGGAGGCGTTGCAGGGAGGCGAAGGCGAACGGCATGTTTGCCGGATTTTCACAGAGAGAGAGACGTGCCGGAACTCTTTGCGAGGGAGACTAAGGTTTTTTTTAAACGAACTCGTCTCATTTCCACAATTTTGTTTGTCAATGCCACGAAAAATCCCAAATTGATACACGTATGATAATTTTACCCTAAATTAATATTTTGACCATCAAAAATCTCAAAATGATACACTTGTGATAAATTTATTCTCATTTTATTTCCTTTAATTTTTACTATCAAATTGCTTTGTTAAATAACACACGACAGTTGACTGATGTGTCAGTTTTATGTTTTACCCTCCGTTTGTCACAGGTGTAACAGTTTGTGATTTTTTTTTGCATTAATTCAATTTAACAGAAACTAACAGGGGGAAAATTTATCACAAATGTACCAGTTTAGAGTTTTTAGTAATCAAAATATAAGTTTGGGGTAAATTTATCACAAGTGTACCAGTTTGAGGTTTTTTGTGGTCAAAAAATTAGTATGGGATAAAACTGTCACAAGTATATCAGTTTATGATTTTTTTTATGGTATTAACCCTTGTCAATTTGAAGAGCTTTCGAAGAAACTGCCAAATTGGTAAGACCCAGCTTGAATTATGTTACATTAATATTCTAATTAAGGAAATATTTATGTATCAATCATCCATAGAAAAAACAAAATTTTGTTTAAAGTTCTACGGGAAAATTTCAAATGAGAGCCGACCTTGTGTCAAATAAGAGCTCGAAGTGGCCATTGCAGTTTTCAAATAAGGACATAACCTTGTCGATCGTCAACTGGCTAACAATTCCAACCAATCATGGGCTTTTTCATCTAAAGACAATTTTTATTTTTATTTTTTTTATTTTTTATTTTTTCTCATTTCTTTTTTTTTCTTTTCGGAGAGGCCAGATAGGGCGAGGCCGACCCTCACCTGTGGCTTTTGAGGGCGACCTCACCCAAGGCGAGGGTTGCCTTGCCAAGGCAAGACGGACCTTGTCGGACTCTAGCAGGGCAACCCCCATGTAGGCGAGGCCTCCCCTCGCTTGTGGCTAGCAAGGGTGGGCCTCACCAGATTGGGCTGGGCGAGCCAGCCCTCTCTAAACATCGTTAGTGGCCGGCCATCGCTTGAGACCGGCCACCAATGAAGAACAAAGAAAAAACTAGAAAAAGGAAAAAAAAGAAAAAAAGAGGAAAAAAAAAGAGGTAAAGGACGAAAATGTCATTGACCATTTAGAAAGTCAGGTCATTCTTTGAAATTAACATAGCCACTCTATGCCCTTATTTGAAATAAGATACACTTCATACTCTTATTTAAGAAAATAAGGGAATTTCGGGCCTTTATTTACAACAAAATTCACTTCATATCATTATTTAAGAAAACGATGGCACTTTAGACCTTTATTTACAATTTTTCCCTAGTTCAAAAAATTAAAATGTAATACTCGGAGACGAAACTCTTGAATATTTACTTATATCTACCTCATATACGAGCATGTTTGTGATATCGATAAATATAAGATGTTTCGATTTTCGGTTGTTAACTAGACTTTGGTGAAGCATTAATAATTACAAACCTCCTTGGCGGACCTTTTCCTTACGTGAATTAAATAGTTACAAGAATTTATTTCTAGCTAACGGGCATCTCATTAAATACAATTTAATAAGGAATATTTCAACACTTCAGCAGTATGAGGAAAGAATTTTTTTTTTCTTTGGTAAAATTCTTCAAAATTCAATACATCCATATTT